CATTAAACTTATAGAAAATGATAATTAAATGCGGCCTTTACAATACCCTTAAACTTATAGAAAACGCTATTTAAATGCGGCATTTACAATAGCATTAAACTTATAGAAAATGATAATTAAATGCAGCATTTACAATACCCTTAAACTTATAGAAAATGCTATTTAAATGCGGAATTTACAATAGCATTAAACTGCTAGAAAATGAAAAGTAAATTCAACATTTACAGCAGTCTTTAAATGTTCGAAATTTATGGGAAAAAAAACCTGTAAACTCTTAGAAAATCATTGTACACGAATTCTATAGTAATGATAACTGGTATACTGAACACCGATGATGTTTAATTGATAATGAACTCCATTCCAAAGTCAATGCAACACCATATTTTTTAATACAATTTGAGTGTATTTAAATTTTGTTTAATGTCTACAGTACAAGTATACATATTCACACTATTTCAGTTATAGACTCTGATGCTATGCATTTAGTTTTACATCTCGTGATCTACGATCTACTTTTTGTTCTTAATAAATTTAAAGGGGCGATCTTTATAGTGATCCTTTTTTACTGCGAATGTTGGAAATCTGTCTGGCACTGCTCTCTTTGAGGGATCATTGGCCTCGTATCGTGTCAAAGCCATTCTTCTCGATTTGCGAGAGAGGCTCCGGGAGTGCTTTTCATCAAGCGCCTCAAATAGTGAGTCAACTTCCTCAGAACGCCAAGGAAGTTTCGACACAATGAGTGTGTTTTCTTCGTCGTCAGAATGTTCGGAGGACATAAAGTCCAGCCGCATCACCGTCATAGCCTTTTTCCTTTCCCTTTCATCTAAGTGGCTTGTCTTATTTAGAATGGATTTTCTCGCTGATAATTTCTGCAATATAATGTTATTTCGTGCTTTCAATAAGTGCAATACAAGGGATTAATCAGGATTGATTGTATAAGGTGTACATCTATCGAAACTAGTCTATCAACACTCTAGTGCGTTGTCACGTTTAATGATTGCTTACGACATTCTGTCGTGTCATTTTCTGTTATGACAAAAGGACGTAATTTAATCTAAAAAGACCTTCGTATTTGCRTTTTATTAATTTGACTACAATAACAGAAATATWTGAGTTTGTGTTGATAAGCTTTGACCTTTTGAGCGCACATCTTTCAATAAACAATTATCCGTACTATATTTTTTTCCTCGCGTGACCCCGTTAATTGGGCATRCGATTTATTTTTAGAAAGCTTAACTGGTKTTAACTAACTTCTGCTTACCCTTTTTCTACGTTCATATTTCCTTTGACGCGATAAGTGATTCTTGAACTGATTTTTCTTCTTCTTCATGTGGCTTTCGTAGAGGGAAGTGTAATATCGAACTGTGGCAACTAAAAGGCAGAAAACGAGTATTGGATTTCAAAGTGATCTTGTATCAACTGATTCGAGACGATATTTGATATACGATTTCTTAGTAGCTAGTTAAATTGCACATGTTTTGCATTGACAGGAGCATAAGTTCCTATAGTCATTAATGCCTTCAAGTGATGCTCACCTCTTATAGATCCTTTAGGTGCGTCTGGATATAACGCCCTCACATTCTTCATTATATAAACAGTCGTCTTTATGTTTGTGGGGTCTTTTRGCCTGATAGACAGATAAAAAATTTGATTGTAGAATCTTATTCCATTTGATAAGCATTGCCGTTTTATAGAAATAAATATAAATAAATAACAAAAACTTACCCTTTGTCGAAGTTCCAAAGCCTTAATTCATCTTCCTCTTCATTAGTAATTTGTTCCTCCAATAGTCTATAGGCAGTCCTCACTGCTTCCTGTTKAAAATACTTTATTCAATAGTGCTTATTTTATTTCTAACAAACGCGTTTATCAATTTGAATTGCAACAATACGTATTTGCGCCCTTTTCACAACAAATTATCTCAGTAGCAAACGGACAAAATGCAGATTATTACTCCCATCTNACAGAAAAGTATCTTTTTAACTAATAATTGAAGAGAACTACATATTTCTTAATGGTTATCATGCAGTATTATCTATGTACTCTAAAATCAAAATTTGCGCCAAAATTTTCTAACGTATCCGTTTAACGTAATTGTGGTAATTGTAATTTTGGCGGCAAAATGAAAATTTCAATTTGTTAACTTTGAATCGACATTTAACGCTCATGTCAATGAAAAATATATGATAGATTACAGTTGTATTGTTTGGAATCCAGTAATCTGAAGGCAAATACGTTACTCAGTGATTTTGGCGCCAAAATGCAAATTCGATTTAAGGTTCCATAAAAACGTTACCTATTCACGTYTGATGCATAAAAGAAATTAACGATATAATAGCAGTAGGAAATAAAACTCTATTTTTCAGAATTGCTTGCGCATAAGGGCATAAGTTTTAAAATAAACCATGATCTACCGAAATCCGGTATTTTGGCGCGCGCCGGCATGAACAAAAATTGTATTCTTGTTTAAAAAAGTGAATATTTACCTTGTCCTGCATCTTTATTAGAGTCCTTGACTGTTGTTTGAGTATTTTGACGGCGTACGGCATCTTTTCCGGCCGATGAGGATCCCGCGTTCGAAGTACTACCGCTTTTAGGTTTCAAAATGGTTTTATAGTCAACTTCATTTTCAGAACTTATTTCATTTGAAAACTCCGCATCACTAGGATCGTTTGCACTTGTGGCCATTTTTTTTCGAACAAAAAGCGACAATTTCTATTAGAAAAAGTAGTTTGAGAAGTCTAGATACGCASACACTGCTGTCGTTGATATCTAAACTGCTCTGATCTGTTTCTGAGTTGCTTTATATATACATGTACACGTCATATGGACATTACTTGATATCAGTTTCATGGTCACAAATCAGAACCACAAACATTCCATTCTCCACCTATAAGACCTTTCATTCTTCAAAGCAATCTTGATGTATCGTTATATGAGTATATATACTTGTAAAAAATCCAACAAACGGCCTGAGTACTTTTCCTAATATATAATCATTCCAATGGAGAAACCAATGCGAAAAAGACGAAGAATAGTTTGTCCTGGGTGTAATCAGTCCTATTCATCAAGATATTTCATTGAGCATAAAAAAGAAAACCACGTCAGAGGGAAATGGCTGTGTCTATCAAGGACAGGGGATATCAGCGAGGAAGACAAAGAGTCGAAAGCTGCATTTGACCAGCATGTGTACGACTATGGAGACTCAGAAAGTGACGATACAATTGTCCACARCTCACATTTGCCTGCTGATACAAATATAGAAGAGATTTTAAGTCATTTTGATGACGACTCACATGGTTTAAACAAGGACAAAGGGACAACTGATAACAATAATATCAATCTACCAAATGAAACTCAAAGTAGTGACAATGACTTTGATGATGAAGAGCAGTGGGATGAAGACTTAGAAGAACTGAGCAAAGACACTGAAAAAAATGAAGATTACACCAAAAAGCAGAAAGAATATAGTGCTGGTAATATCCTTTTGATGTTGACATGCCGTTTTATAAGTGTTTGGCAAGCTACTTGTGCCATATCAGATAACGCTGTCAGATGGCTATTGGAATTTTTAGTCGCATTATTCAAAATCTTAGGAAAGAACTGTGCTTTTGTGGCATCTTTGGCTGCTGCTTTCCCTTCATCATTACAGAGGCTGTGGGAAGTTCTTAACATTGATAGAGATAACTTCACAAAATATGCTGTTTGTCCCAAGTGCAATTCCATATATTCGTACATACACGGTGTGGAAGGCCTCGACTTCTCACATGTAAGTGTCATTGTAAACTTGTATTCAATCAATCAGGGTTTTTACAGTAATACGAATAAGAATATATTTACTTCTTCGAAAGAAGGTTACATTTAAACATAAGTTACTTCGTTTTCAACCTTTAATTCAAACAACAGTGTTGCAACTATTTTTTCGCTTGCTTGATAATTTTTTATTGTAAACTTAAATTGTTTACATAACGAAAGAAAAGAAAAAATGTGTATTTTAGTTCAACATAAGAATATTTTTTCAAGATGCAGAAAACAACACCCTCAAGTTCATGGTTCTTGCAAAGCTATACCTAATTGTGCAAAGTATTATTTGCATGCATTTCATGTTTACAAGTTAATAAAGCNGTGGATTTACTGCAGACCAATGGAAAAATTGGACAAATCTCTTCAGCATATATGCTTTACAAGGATTACTTCCAAAAAGGCATTTAGAATGTTGGCGGTTCTTTGTACAAGCTTCGCGTTTACTGACATCTCGTGTTATTCGATTGAATGAGATTTTAGATGCGGATAGGCTAATACTTAAATTTTGCAAGGAAGTTGAAAATTTGTATGGCAAAGACGTTGTTACACCCAATATGCATTTACATTGCCATTTAAAAGAATGTATAATTGACTACGGTCCCGTGTTTTCGTTCTGGTGTTTTAGCTTTGAACGATATAATGGAATTTTAGGAAAATACGCAACAAATCAACGATCCATAGAGATTCAGTTGATGCGCAAGTTCCTAAAAGACAATGATATCTTTCAAATTCAAAGTGAGAGTTCTTATCAGGAATATGACGAATTGCTTCAAATCATCAATAAAGATAACTATGGACAAAAAGGATCATTGCTTGAGACAAGTATCGATCCTGCACAAATTCTTTCTGCGATAGGATATGCGACGTCTGCAATAGCTGTTGTGGAGGATTGGCAGTTTAATGATAGGGTGTATATAGTAGGTCCACCCCGACAAACCGATCTGTTTAGCTCTCTAGAATATAACTACATCAAAGCCGTTTATCAATTCCTTTACCCCGAACTTAAAGAAGAACCTGCAAAAACGGACATTCCAAGGGCATACTCACGTTATAAATCAGTTTCTTTTGCTGGTGAAAATTATGGGTCAGAGTTAAGTAAAGGCGAAAGGTCCTCTCTTATTATTGCTTCATGGGCAACTTTAGGTGGACGAATCACAGCTGAATTCAATGCTCGTCCTGGGAAGGTGGAATACTATATCTTACATAATGTGTTTAATGCCGAGGGAAAGCCCAAACCTCATCTGTTTGCAAAAGTGAAATGGCTTCAAGCCGTAGACGAAGATGTAAGACACCTCTGTGGCAATCCGGTAGAGTTATGGTGCAAAACTTTGTTTGAAGTTGATGGTCCTGCAACATTTATCCCGATGCAGTGAATACTATTAGTTCTCTCACCTCATCACTGCAGATTTGTGCAAGTTTTAAACATTAATCAACTATGATATCAACAGAAACCAAACTTAACTGTTAGAATTTTTTTTACATGTACATGTAATATTACCATGCTGTTTCCTTTCCATACATGTATCTACATTTGCAAAGAGGCTATCAAAGTGACATAAATAAAAATCATAAAAAAAACAATTTCTACATCTTACCGGTTGTTCTCTGATCAGTTAGCAACAGCTAATGAAACACAGACAAGGCACTCTGGTCACCATAGGCATGAATTCCAATTGGAACTATACCAGAAACCTGATCTCGACCTGAAAATTGAAATAACATACAAATAATATTAATTACGAACAGTTTATATTTTCTAACAATGCTATTGTGAAAATGCCTTTTTAAGACAAATGTTGATCTGCAAATTATAAATACAGTTTTGTTTATTTTGTTCAATACATGTAATTGTGGTTTATTTTCGACATGCTAAGGGTCTTCCATCAAGCTTGATATTGAATGTTAAAGAAGATGAATCATTGCCATGTAACCTGCTTTGTCGAATGGCCCAAGTGATGACTTCATTTAAGCTCACAGTATAGCCACGTACATTTGGTACATGTTTGATTTAAACTGCTGCTCGGTGATATCAAGAATCATTTTCTTTGACGCAATTACTTTGTTTTGGGTGAGAAGAAGTCCAACATCTGCACATTTCTAGAGTGTCCAACAATATTCAAATGTGGTGATTAATTGATCAATATCATTTTTAAATGATAAAAGATTCTTCAATGTCTTTGTATAGATAATAATTATTTGCAACTATATTAGCTTGACAGGGGATTAATTAGGGTAAAAAAAATCAATCATATTACTTTGTTAGTTTTATGACATAGCTAGATTTAACTATACAATTTTACAACCAGTATATAATCAATATTAAGCAACTTAACCCGGTGTCTCCAATATTTAAGTAATTTAACATCGTCTGCCAAGATTTGTCCGAGAGTTTTGTTGCAAGTTTGACATACACTTGCACCCAGTCAGGAACTCGAAAAGAAGCTATATGTTGGTTATACTGTTCACCAAGAAGACTAGTTACACTTTCCTTAAGGGACTTATTTTCAGCTACAGTTGAAATTACTGACTGCAATAACTCTTCAATAAATACTTTATCGGTTTCACCTTGGCCATATAAGTAGGCATTCCCAACAATGCGACCTATTTCCTTGCCATCTTTATGGAATATTTCTCGAAGTTTCGTAATCAATGCCATTGATTAAAAAAAAAGCTTGCGGCTTTCATATAGTTTCTAGGCCCAACTGAGACTTCATCGAGAATTTTCAATGTGGCAAAGTTTCTTTTTATTTCTTGCTGACAATTGATTTCAGTGGAATTATGCTTATTTTCCTCGATCGGCCCAGTAGCTTTAAGCTTAATATTCTTTTTGGCAGGAATTTCTACATCACCTTCAAGAGCAATCCCGTTGACACTCTCGATAATATTTGGAAATACCTTGGAATGGAAAATCCCATCACTTAAATTTCTTGATCTCAAGCTTCTTGCGAGCAATCCAAAGGCAGTGGCAACAACAACTTCATCTTTCTTCCTCGAGGATCCAAAATAGTCGTACGGGACTCTTGACCCTGATCGATCTTGTATTGAGGCGAAGGGCAAAACACAATTGATCACTGAAAATTCTACATACTTCAGACTTCACGAACTCTCGAATCCTTCTGTCTTTAGA